ATGTTTGCTGGGCATAAGTAGTCTGTATTTTCCAGTAAAAGTTCAGAATTCCTATACTGCTTTTTCTTTAATACCTTAATCTTCTTCTCAAAATGCTCAGCATGCATCTTGACAACAAATTTTCAGGTGGTCTTGTAGACAGCCAAAACCAAGTAATTTTCTGCTCTTAAGGTTGTTTTGCTTTAAGTCCATACCTCTTTACTTTCTGGCCCCCCCACCCTCCCATCAGCTCCTTATCCTCAGCAAAGCAAACAGCCACCAAAACAGCAAATCTTGCTTGATTTGAAATAGATTAACAACAGCTGTGGCACATAAACTATCACTTTTTCATCTCCGTGTGTTTCCATATCCTCCCTTCTGGTTATTTCTGTACTGGATTGATATTGGTTAGCATATGGAACTTCAGTTAAAAATATGTGTAAAGTATTAAGTCAATTGCATCATATGACCGTGGACTACCTCATATCAGTGATTTTGAGACTCCTGTAGTTAAATGTTAAGATTTACAAATCTTTGTCCTGGTTCATTAGATTTTTTTAGCCCTTTGAGTCATGTGCTTTTGGTGAGTTTGCTGATGTTCTGAGGATAATGTTTGTTGTTAGTTCAGCTTAGGACTGTCTCAGTACAGCTGTGCCTTCTGCTTGTAACTACTGAGCACACAAGTCCTGGTGTGGATACTTTCTAGTTCTGTTCTGACCTCCTGCAGAAAGAAGTATCTTTAGTAATATTAAGAAATGGAAGTCCGTTTTGCTGTTTAGATCTTCTCAGCTAGCTGTAGTGTTAAATAAGCCCCGATATGAAAGAAGCAGCCCCAAGAAATAGGGCTTTTCCTTGCAATTGTAGCAAGGTCTTGGATGAGTTAACAGCTCTATGCTGGTGTTTCTCCTGTCATAAGTTTTTTTTATTGTCTTATTGTTTCTTGCATTCTTCATCGTCTTTGGTCTGTCTACCTCTTACATTTTGATTAGAGACATTTTGTGGGAATAATAAAACTGATTTTGTCCTCTGGTAATGTATTGAATTGTAAAAATTCTAGTTGTGGACTAGATTCCTTTTGCATTACAACCATACACACCCACAGCTCCTGTCACAGCATAGGGTAGACCTCAGCTCAGAATATTATCTATTCATTGTGGTGGTCTCTTCATTTTCAGATGTAATTCCATATGTGACTGTTCAAACAGCATTCACAGAATCATTTAGGTTGAGAAAGACCTTAAGATTATCAAGTCCAACCTTTAACCTTACTCTACAATATTCACCCCTAAACCATATCCCCAAGCACCACATCTACATGACTTTTAAACTCTTTTAAAATACAGCAATTTATTTCTAATCTGCAGAGGATGTAAGCATGATCTGAAAACTCTAGCCCCTTACAGCCAGTTTTTGAGGAGGTTTTGATGGCCACACTTCGAAACCACAGAAGGGATGTAGGTGGTTACTAGCAGGGTTTTCTGTAACACTGAAAATTATGATAGAAATTTTTTATTCCACAGATTTCTTTCTAATAAATCCACTGTGGTTATTGTGATGTTCCTGTGTAGTTTTAATGTCACCTCTGTCATGGAATAAATTATCGTAAGCTATTGTGGAAACATAGTTAAACAAGCAATCTGTGTTCTCAAATCTGTTTGTGCCCTGTTCTGCATACCAGTTGAATAGCTAAAACTCCTTATCAGTCAGCCTTAGTGTCTCATCTATTATGTTATAGTCATCTTTCCACTCTCAGACTTCCTTACCATGGTTTCTAATTTTTTTTCTCCCTCCTCTTGGTTTGGGGGTTTTTTCTGTCCTCTTTCTTGCTTTTTCCTGGCCCCAGTTCTAACACTTTTTTCCCTGTAATATTTGCCTTAGGACCCCCAGTGAGAAGGAGGTGACCATAAAGGCAATCTTAACAAGGAGCTGATTCTGCTGAATGTTTCTGCTGTGTTAATTTTCAACCAGATCAGCTCCCTGACTGTCTTGTCTATGTGGCTGCAGCATCCCTGTGACTGCTGTAACTGAGAAGTAACACTATGAGAGGCAGGCAGGTAAATTAGCCATTTCAGGGATTTACCTTGGTATATGCCACTTGTGCAGCCATGACCTAGGCAGCAGTCCTGCCATTTATGTGCATGTTTACGACCCTTTGGAAGCCGGCCTCCCATCACCATTGCTAAAAAGATTTGCAAGCAAAGGGGAAATAAATACCTAATTAAAATGTGATTGGACTGTGTGTGGCATGTGTACTGGCCTTGTTAATTTTTGGCTTTGAACAGTTCACAGTTGCAGTCAGGTTTTTTGCCACCTGTCTCATTTCTCCATGTGCAATGAAAAATAGTACAAACTGATGGATTGCACATGCTTTTTCCCATTGGATTGTCTGGGTTCCATGTATGGGAGCAAGAGAGAGCCTGTGATAGTGTCTGAGAGCAGTTTTGGGGTGGCTGTGATGGGGAGGGATGTTGATGGCTGTTTTCTTAGGCCATGAGGAAGGAAATACAAGACATGTTTGAAATTTTTAGGAGTTCTGTATTTATTAAATTATTAAGTAATAAAAATACATAGTTGGTCCTTCTCCTCCCGTGAAACCTTGTTTGTCACATCAGTGGCCTGGGTAATAACTGTAAAGCCAAACTTGACTCATGAAAGATCCTTGATTATTATGTGCTCTCAGAAATTTCTAAACTTTCTTTCCTTTTCTCTATGTGTTTCCAGGACGTAGGTTCAGACCTCTTTTATAATTTGTTGCTGGTTTAAACCAATTCTTATTTTTGTAATCGTAATTCTGGGTTTTTCTTTAAATTTAAATTGGTAAAATCTAAGAGATCTTTATCTCTGGACTCACATAGAATTTGAGTAGGAAATGAAAAGTAATTGGCAGGCATTAAAATAGTAAGTACCCAGAATCTTTTTGGGTCTGTATATTTATTTATTTTTAAAAGCATTTTAGGGAATAATGCAATGTAAACTTTGAGATCAACAACAATATCTTGGTTGTTCTGACACAGGTATATGAAAGGCTCGCAGCTGATTCCTTGTTGCTGCTCTCTTGTTGCTGCCTGTGTGCTGTGGCTATAAAGTACTCCTGCTGGGGTTTGCTATAGATGGTTGTTTTGCACAGGTGTGCAGTGAAATGGAGTAGAAAACTCTGCTGCCTGACTTCAGTGAAGAGCAAAATCAAATATGCTGACAACCTTTGTACAGCAGTAAAAGTTTATGGTTGGGTTAATGAGCAACTTCTGGAAATGATTTGTTTTATTTACTATATTTCTTGTTCTAGAGATTTGTAAATAATTGATACTTTTAGATATTAGCCACAATGAACATCATAGAATCACAGAATGCCAGGTTGGAAGAGACCTCAAGGATCATCTGATCCAACCTTTCTAGGTACTACTGTAGTTTGTATGAGATGGCTCAGCAGCCTGTCAAGCTGAGACTTGAAGTGGTCCAATGTGGGGGAATCTACCACTTCCCTTGGGAGACTATTCCAATGTTTGACTGTCCTCATGGTGAAAAATTTACCTCTTGTGTCCAATCAGAATCTCGCCAGGAGCAACTTGTGCCCATTACCCCTTGGCTTTTCCATATGACCCATTGTAAAAAGGGAGTCTCCATCTTCTTGGTAGCCACCCTTTAAGTACTGGAGCAAGCAGTAAGGTCTCCCCTAAGCCTTCTCTTCTCAAGGCTACACAAGCCCAGTTTTCTCAGCTTTTCCTCATATGGCAAATTCTCCAGTCATCTGATCATCTTTGTGGCCCTTCTGGACCCTCTCCAGCCTGTCCCCATCCTTATTGTAGAGCAGGGACCAAAACTGAATGCAATATTCCAGGTGTGGTTTGACAAGCACCAAGTAGAGCAGGATGATGATTTCTTTATCTCTGCTGGTGATACCCTTGTTGATGCAGCCCATCATTCTGTTGGCTTTCTTTGCTACTGCAGCACACTGGTCACTCGTGTTGATCCTGTTATGCACCAAGACCTCCACATCCCTTTCCACAGGGCTGCTCTCCAGCCCAGTGATCCCAGTCTGAACTCCACTCCTTGGTTATGTGTTCCCAGGTGCAAGACCTTACACTTCTCTCCATTTAACTTCATAAGCTTAAAAATATCCAAAATACATCCGAAATACAAGATTTCTAAAATCTGAAACCTTCATACGCCATCTTAAAGAGTGGTTGCTTCTTTAACTGTGTGGTTCAAATCCGCTTTCCACAGAAATATCAACAATCTCCACTAATTAGAAAACAGGATTGCAAGTCTTACAGTGTTTAGATTTCTTTACCATCAGCAGATAGAATAGATTTAAATTCTCTGAATTTTTAATGCATTTCCAGTTGTAACAATAATTACGTTACTTTGAATAGCATCAAAGAAGAGAATGGATGTTTGCTTTTTGTGCCTTAAACTATTTAAAATGAGGAGAGGTACAGCCTGGATAGTAAAGATAAAGGAAGTATTCAGGCTACTTACTACAAACAGATTAAATATTTTAAAATATTCCAAATCAATGCACATAATGTGGAATCCTATTTATAGGATTTGCTTTCCGTACTTTCTGTGTGGTGTTAAATTCTGGTACTTTTCAGTGTGCTATTTATGTTCTTTGTTGAGCCACATGCTTTATTGTTCACTCTTGTTGAATGTTTACTCTCCAAATCTATGACAGTATGTACATAATATACTAAAATTTTTCATAGCAATGCATAAAGCTACAGTATGGTAGAACAGAGAAATGCCAAATGTGTCTATACAAGATATATACTATCAGTATGTTCTTTTGGAGATAGTGACAGTTTTATTTGTAAATGTTAGCTATATATAGCAAGAAAGTAACATTTTTTGTCATAAAAAGAAGTTAATCTTAATCATCAATTAGAAATAGTTGAGGATTCATAGGTGAGTAAATCAGCATTTCAGTTCATGTTTTAAAGCATGGTAGCCTCAAAATTAAATCCACTAAAACCAGACTGAAGTTTGTGTTAACTGGAATTCTGTGCATTGTCTCCCCCTAGGAAGAACAGGCTGCTAAACTCAAAGCTGAGAAGATTAGGGTTGCGTTAGAGAAGATTAAAGAGGCACAAGTGAAGAAGGTAAGTTATTCATACTGGTTTATAAGATCTGTATTTTTTACTTACTCACCTGGAAAATGCAGGCAAAACTCTTCTCATTTGTGTCTATTAACCTTAAGTTGCCCTGAATAAAATAGGAACACTGAGGTGTTCTGATCTTGAGTGATAATGTACTTTCTCATCTAACCTGTACCTAATGAAGAAAATCCTAGCATATGGAGTAGTATTATGTTTTTCTTAAAGAATAGCTTATTTTGCAGCTAGTGCACATTGAGAATACTTTGCTAGCTTCCACCCAGAGCTAAAGTGAAGGTCCAGCCTCCTGAGATTGTACATTAGAGCACTCAAACATTTAAAATTTGGGTCTGTTTATTTACAAACCCTTTCCCTTTATGCATAGCATGATAAATGGACTCCAAGCATTCTGGACTACAGCTAGGAGTTACTAAGTGGAAAAAGTTTACTGACATTGCTTGATGCATTATTGAAGAATATAAAGTGTTCTCTTGAAACTTAGCATTGTTATTTTATTTTTGGAGTTTTTCAGTAGCTTAAAATACCTTTTACATTTTGTGTTTATCAAAAGCTGAAGAAAGTGTTTTGGCTGGATGACAGGCATTAACAAGCCAGCCAATGTATTACAACTAGCACACTACCTTTTCCAGCTAAAACAGGTATAAATAAGTGTAATGATTGGCAAGAAGAATCTATTAAAAGTTTTTTGATTGATCAAAAAAATAGCTATTTTTTTCTTTCTGGATAGTGACCTATGAAAAGTGCCTATGAAAAGCCATTGTGTTTTAAAAGCAGTTTTCTTTCCCAGTAATGCTTCATACTCCCTAGAAAAAGATTTATTCTAGGTATATTGTTTACATAATCAGCGTTTTTAGGAAATCCAGAGGAGGCAAGCAGGAAGCTTGAATTGCAAATCTGAAAAATTCTAATTCTATATAAGGTTGTGCAGAACTCTATATCAATTTTGTTCCACCTATATATGTGAGGGAAATTGTCACAAAGACACTTCATTAATCAAAACAGGATGCTTAGGCAGGGGGGATTTTTCATTTTGTTGGGAAGACCTTTATATTTCCTCTTATACTGAAGGAGAACAGTATCTTGTTATATGTCCATCCTACAAGTATTTAAGTCATTTATGGCTTTTTACATTTGGAGGGAGTGTTTTAATACTTTACGTTGTTTTAACAAAACTTCAGAAAAAGAAACTAGATTTTAAAAAACATATTTTGATTTGAATGTGGGAAATTAATCCTGCTTATTGTTTTCCTAATTTTCTGTTTAATAGTTGGTCATCAGAGTTCATATGTCTGATGACAGTTCAAAAACAATGATGGTGGATGAGAGGCAGACAGTGAGACAAGTGTTAGACAATCTAATGGACAAATCACATTGTGGTTACAGTTTAGACTGGTCATTGGTGGAAACTATCTCTGAATTGCAAATGGGTAAGTAATAATTATAAACCTTTATAATTCTTATCTATTAATGTAATACATGTCTATATCTGTGTCCTCAGAATGATTTGAATTCCTGACTTCATAATGTTCATTATCTTGTTCATTTGTGTATTAAATGTTAGTTCATGTAATAAAGCTCATGAATGACATTGAGAATGATCTGGAAATATATTCTTATTTCATATTAAAAGCATGTCTTAATTCTAAGGTGTGGTATAGGAATTCTGTTAGTGTCTAGTAACTGAAACTCTTGGTTTTGATGTGTTTCTCATAGGAGAAAAAGGCAGGGGGTAAAAAACAATACATCTTCCTCTTTGAAAATGCTATTTTTTGCTGATCCTAATAGTTCTTACTACTAAAAGCTGTCTACATATTTTTTTTCTTTTAAGTATTTTAATGCAATTGGCAATACAGCTCTAAGGGCAGTTAATGCTCCTTTGTGCTGCATTGCACATAGGACAATGTATGCTGTTCATTTAGCCAAAGGATATAGCATCTGAATGGAAAAGAAGGGGAAAAATTATAGAAAAACAGTATTATTAATATCCATTGTCAGAGAAGAATAAATTAGAGAGCTGTTAATCACCTTACCTATTGACTAAAAAAAAAGCCCAGAACTGAACCTAAATATCTTGATTTCAAATTAAAATGCAGATTAATATTTCCCCTCCCTTTTGTTGAAACCTTTCTATTTCAGGCAGTGTAACATGTTAACTTTGCTTATTTTTAGACAAAAAAAAAGCTGTTTTAGGCCTTCAAGGTATCCGTCAAATCTTTACCTTTCATATAAAAAAATAACATCTTGCTTGGCTAAAACCTTAAAATTTAATACATGAAATTTTTTAAGTTGCCGAATTTTGAAACTGGGAAGAATTAGCACAACTCTGTGTAAATCCAAATTAGGCATATAAAAATCACGTGTCATTCTATAACATGTTACCAAAGAGAGAAATATTAATAAATAACCTTATTAATTCTGCAATAGTTTTAAGTTTCTATCACTGAAAATTATCTGAATATATAGGTAGCAGGATCCTGCATCCATGGCTTAACTTGAGGTCTTTCTCATCCTATATTTTCTTTCATAAGACACTTACATTCACTATGGGGCCTGGAAAAATAAAGGAAAAAATACTGGAAAAAATGTCAACTTCTGTTAGAAAAAAAGAGGTAGGCTGGAGAGAGAAAGATAAACTGATTTTTATCAGCAGTGTGACTGAATGATAAGCTTACTGTGAAATGAAACCAGTGTTAACAAATCTTTCTTGTTGGGCGTTTTGCAAGTATGTGCATGCCCTACTCTGTGGGCTCAGTGACATGACAGAATTCTACTGCTGTATTGGATAAGTTTCAAGCTAAAGAGGAACACTTATTTTATAATTACAGATTTTAAATTCAGGCTACAACATGGTAAATTTGAGAGAGATGCAAGAGAGTAGAATTCAATTTCCTATTTTATTTTTCACTTTGGCTTTCATTGATCCTTGATAGGGCAACTGTTAGTTTTAATATATTTCATATATGTGGTTTTTAAAAAGATGATACAAAATGCGCCCTGTTTAATTCAGGGATCTTATGTCTTTGGAACTTGAAAAAAAGATGTAAAAATTATTACAACAAAGACCTCAGTGTACTACTGTCTCTTGTATTGTGTTATTTTGCCAGTGGTTTATCTTTTGGAACATCTATTCTGGCAATGCCTATGTAAGAGGAGGGGGCTCCTTTATTATAAAATTTTCCTTCAGTGAGACACAGAGGACCTATGTACCTTCACAGTGTACTTTACCATGGTGTCTTGTTGGTTGATGGCTCATTAATAGCACAGTTAAGTAAAATGCAGTGAAAACTTTAAGCTAACAAACTGCTAAGAAAGACATGAGGTCTGCGGAGTACCTGCTTGTCTTTGCATTTTATGTGGTTTGCTTCAAATGTGGGTGCTTAACTAGTTTTTTGAGGAGTCTGATTTAGGTACATGTACTTGAAGTAAATGGTCACCTGCTACTATATAATTGTTTAACCAGGAGATTTATATATACTTTCAGAAGAACATAGTGAAACTATTTCCAGAAAGCCCAATTTTATTCTGCAGGTTTGTAACAGAAACTATTCTGGAAGGTTTCTTTTGTTTGGGGCAAAGGTTGTTTTATTTTATTTTTTAGTTATAACAGAGTATGTCTATGAAGTACCTGTGAGCTACAGTTTTTTAATTTCAGAGAGGATGTTTAATAATAGGAGCATGTGTTATATGCATTTTTTTACATACTATAGGTACACAGACACTCAGTAGCTGATTCGTATTTGATTTCAGTTATTGTTCCTGTAATAACAGTTGGTATGTTTTGAAAGCTATCTGTTTTCACTAATGAGGCTGCAGTGAGATTTAAGCTCTTGTATCACAGTACTCTGAAGTTTTTTTGTTTTGTTCTTATGTTAGGTAACACCTTTTTTACCTACTTGGAAGACAGTACTACTGATAGAGCTTGGTGGAAGTCGTGAGTTGTAACTCAAAAGCTTCTTGAAAAGGTCTCACTGAGACCTCAGTAATGCGGTGTTGTCATCTCAAACCTTAAGACATTCCCTACAGATGACATTTTGTTGCATTCACTCTGCTTAGTATTCTTAAGTAGCAGAGATATTGAGATGTCATCTGTCATCTCAGTCTTCATTAGTGATAGCTTGTAAGTGTGGATGTGATCAGTGCCATTTGTAAAAATGTGCTGTGATTGATTTTGTGGAAAAAAAACAAAACATGCTCTGCTTTCAGATGCAATCAAAAGGTCAAGAAAGTCCCAAAGGATTCTGAAAGAAATAATTTGCTGAGATGCCACTGTGTAGCCTATGTAAAGAGGGAACAAACAGCAGAACACAAAATACTGCTTTAGTGTCTTTGAAAGAAGGAGAAAGTTGGTTGCGTGGTTTCCCAAAGATTCCTTATTCATTTTAGAATAAGGGTTTTTAGATATTTCTCTATTGTTTCAGTAAATTTTCCTTTCTTCTTCTTCTCTTCTCTTTTGCCTGTTTTCAATATCTTGTATTAGTGATAACTATTTAATCAGAGTCAAAGCTCAGAGTTCTCAGAAGCCATTGTTGATAGGTCGTTTTATTCATCATGATGTATTGTGAGAAATAGACAGTGTCAGTTTTCAGACTACTTCTGCAATACCCACAATAAGAATGGGTATTCTGCAGTCTTCAGAAACATTTCGTTTTCCCTCTGATCATTGTCTGTTACTGTTTTTAATACTTTAGAAACGAGATAGTGGTGGAGGATATAGAACAAATTTTGTGCTGAAAAAGCTGCCTAATAAATTCCTCCAGGGATTGTGTGGACCAGAGTACATATAAGTGTAATAATCTTCTTATATGTACTCAAAATATTTGAAATGTTGTTATCTGAGTCTGCTCTGTTCATATGGGATAGTAGGTTTTGTCAGGTAAAAAGAGAAACACTTAATATATTGTTGGCAGTGTGGAACTGTAAGCCTGAAGAGACAGAGGTGAGAATGCTGAGTGAGTGTAAGTGTAAAATAAAACCAGACAGATCTGAAAGTTGAACAAGTTCTTTTAGTGCCTTAGTGTAAACTACTTCCTCATTTTAGTAGATGTTGAACTTAATTTTTCTCTTTGTATATGCCTCGTCTCCCAGATATGACTACAGAGTAGTTTCAGTCTCAAAATCTGACTGATTCAAATGTATTTCGTGTCTTGTTATTGCTACAGAAAGGATCTTTGAAGATCATGAAAATTTAGTTGAAAATCTTCTGAACTGGACAAGAGATAGTCAAAACAAATTAATGTTTGTGGAACGTATAGAGAAATACGCACTTTTCAAGAATCCCCAGGTAAGCCTGAGAATCATGTTGGATATCTGTGTGCGTGCACACATGTATGTCCAATTCCAATTTCTTGCTTTTTTTCTATTGTTCATTTCCATACTTTAATTTTTATACTTGTGCATGTGTTAAAATGCAAAGCAACTTTACATTTTGACGCTGTGTTCATCCACATTGCAGTTGGCACAAAATCAAGTTTCTAGTAGAAAACCATGAGCTGAAGCAATCTGCTAATGTGTTTGTGGGTATTTTAATGAAGGCAAGCAGTTTCATGGCATTTACACCAATACTTAGTGATGTTCAAATATGTAGATAGGCAAGAAAGGTGTTGGCAGATACTGCTAATTGTAATGCCTCTCCACTGTACATTCGTATGTTGCTGGCAAGAAGGGGGAGAGGAAATCTAAGAGAACAGGTCCTCCATGGTCAAATGGCAATCAAAGAAAAGAGATTGTGTCTCTCTCCCTGTGGAAGGTGGGACTTGCTTCTGTTCACCTGTGTTTCCTGTTCCCTGGCTAGGAAACCAGAGGCCCCCCTACTCCCTCAAATGGCTTCAAAGTCCTCTCTTCTCTCAGATAGTAGCTACAGATGCTATCTTTTTTTAAAGCGAGAATTGAAAAACAGGTCTTAATCAAGTGCTTTGCTTTTTAAAAACATGTAGTTGATACATTTACTGTCCAGTACGGTAGGCACCGTCAACAAGTATGAGGTACTAGCATAAAACCTGTGTTTCTCCGTAGTTTAAAATACTGAACTGGCTAAACTTTGTGGATTATTTTTTTTTCCCCACTATAAGAGCCACAGGCTAGGAAGAGGGAGATTTTCATTGTCCCAGTCTTTTCAAGGCTGAAGAAGAGTACAAAACTTATTAAATTAGATGCAGTACCTGTACATAGTTAGGTTCCTTTTAAGAAGACAAGTATTTAGTAATTATTTGGCAAAACTGTTATGGCTAGGTGAAAAGAAGTGCATTGCTTCTGTGTGTGTTTCTTTTAACACAAACATAATGGCAATACATACCAGGTTTAAATAATAATTAACCTCTGTTTTAAATAATATTTTATTGTGGGATTTTCAATTCATAGTATTTTTATTTCTGGATGCACCGTGCCAGGCAGCTGTTTGTTTTGTGGAAAGCCAGAACAATGCTGTTGTGAGACAGGGACTTAATGTAACAGTATGAACTGACTGATACTTCTGAAAAAAGTGGTTATAACTTAATTCCATGTATTATGTAGCAGTCCAAAAGTTTAAATTTTACTACAAACTTTTGTTCAATTAATGTATTGTTCTTAGATAATAGCTGGCTTTTTCTTGCTGCTTACAGAAAGGTAAATGATAAATGTTATTTGGCTTGATTTCAGAACACCTATAGAAACACTAAGCTTTCTTTTGTTACAGAACTATCTTCTGGGGAAGAAAGAAACCTCTGAAATGGCAGACAGAAATAAAGAGGTGCTGCTAGAGGTAAGACTCCCAAAACAAGTAGAGCATAGTGATCATTTCAGAGCTTGAGGCTAAACTGTGAATGGTCATAGTGATAGAAATTGATGGACAGAGCTGAATGTAATTCTGGAACAAAGGTGAATGAAACGTGTTAGATTTGAGATAGATGGCAATTTTAACATTAATAATCAGTTAATTAAAATGTCTTTAATTTGTTTAAGAGCTAAGATACCATACACACTGATAATAGAAATGAGGTTACCTGTAACTATGGCTAAAAACAGCCACCTGTTTTTTTTGACCTGTGGTGGTATAGATCTTTTTACTAGTACTCTGCCAGTTGTTACTCTACAAAATTGTATAGCATTGGTTCAGTGACTGGCTGTGTTAATATTTTAAATTGTGTGTGTAAGCAAAGTAGTTAAAAATTGTTTCAATTACATTTTAAAATAAACAACCAAATATTAAAATTTAAAAGTGGATGACAGAAAAGTTAGTCAATTAAATAGAGAACACATTAGTTACCAAAAAAAAGATATGGAGCAAATAAAGCAAACAGTGAACATAGCCTCCATCAGCTGAAAACTGAGTGGTTTAATGAAATTTTTGTAGAGACATAGCCCCTCTGAAGTGCCGTAGCTTCCACTTGATTTCCAGAATAATGATTATGATTTCAGTAGTCACACAAACATAAATATTTTTAGTATATCATTTTGTATCATACTTAATATAATTTAACTTACTAGTAGCATGTGTGTGCTCTTAGTATATTGCTAGTATGGGTTTTAAGAAGTGGTCATGTGAATACTGTGGGTCAAAAAGATGCTTGAAGCCATGACATGTGGGGGTTTGTAATTTTGTCTAATTCTTCCTGTCTTCTAGGTTTACTCATAAATCTCTGTGCTGCCTATTAATCTGGAGTGTGTTTAAAGCATTTGGTTTCTTCTAGTGGTTCTTTTTAAATAGCACCTCAACAGAAGTAGTAGTGTTGGCAGTTAGTAGCAATAAAGCATTCATGAAATGCACTGTAGCTGTATCTGATAGATACATTATTAGGTTTTGTGTATACTTAGACTTATGAGGCTATATCACTAAAGTGACATTGGGACTTTAAAGCCAGTAAAGCCAATGGAAAATCTTTACAGTAGCCACTAATATTTTTGTTGTCATTCTTGCACTGAGAAGATCCCCTCTTGTGTTTGTCTGAATAACCTTATAGCTTCTACAATTAATCTTTTAATTCATATCACTGCATGGAAAAGAGCTGTCCTTGTTGTGTGTGCATTCCTTAGATGAAGTATTTCAGAATTTCAGTCATTAAAAACAGACCACTGAATACTGTATGTTCTGTCTGTTTCTTTCTTCCCAAATCACTGTGTGTTATCGGCAGGAATGTTTCTGTGGAAGTTCTGTAACCGTACCAGAGATTGAAGGAGTTTTGTGGTTGAAAGAAGATGGTAAGAAGTCTTGGAAGAAACGTTACTTTCTTCTTCGAGCTTCTGGAATCTACTATGTCCCTAAAGGAAAGGCAAAGGTATGCTCTTTTTAAGCAATTGCCCAGAATTGTTTATTGCTTGTAAATCATGCAGACAAGAATCAGTCTTAAATTTTAGCCTAGCTGTGCTTTACTTATTGCCACATGCCTTAATTAAAAGTGCAGCTTTTTCATGGAAAGACTGCGTAAATAACTGTGGTAGCACTTATTCTGAAGAGTGTGATTCCAAGTTTAACAGCACAGGAAGACAAGGGTCTGTTTTTTGAGTGAGCTCAGAGTCAGATGTTAAGAAACAGTTGAGGAAAAATGATTGGTGGAGTTTAGAGGCTGCCTTTTCTCAAGTAGAATACAGATGAAGGACCAAATCGCACAGCAAATGCCAAACACAAATTATCAGACCAACACCACCATCAGTCTGTATAATTTCATGTTTATTTCCTTTGTTAGCTCTTAGAAATTGGATTCTTCTTGCATCAATTTGTGCTATGTCCTCTGAAATTGGTTAATATAATACTGTTTCTTCAATGTCACTGCTTTTCTATGTGTACCAGTAACAAAATGTAGATAGAAACCTTCTACAAATTCATTATAGCTTGAAGGCTGAACTACTGTGAGCTCAAGTTGTTTGTGAATCCATCAGTCTTGGTAGCATCAACTGATCCCCAGTACAGGAAGTCTACATGTCACACAGCTGGTAATGAAGAGCAAATCTCTTACCAGTGCATCAGCTCCCTTTAGAGCTAAATACAGCGCAGTTGTCCCTTCCATAGCCTTTTGTTTTGTTAAAACAATCTATGTGTAAGATAGCCTTGTGAAATTCTGTGCCCTACAGTAACTGCCAAACGTCATGGGAGTTTTACTCACAGTCACGATGGAATTTGAACACTTGAATTATTACTAAGATAAAACATAACAAACAGCAGTTAAAAAGTTCCTGGTCAACCAGTCCTATTTACTTTTTCCCCAATATCAACTGAATAAACATTGGTAGTCTGGTGTAAAATGGTGTCAAAAGACAAAAAGCAGACAAAACACAAAAAGCCAGACTGAATTAGGAAAATTATATCCTGGTTAAAAAATAATATGTGATGCAAGAGTTTATGGATGGCTCTGTCTCCTTCTTGGATGGGTACTTTCAGATTAAAACTACTATTTGACCTTAACTAGACCTTGTATTAGCACTGGATCTTAACACTAGATTGATTTTTGTCAGTGCATGTGATTTTCTTATAAAGATACTTTGTAAATTATTATTTTTATATTTAATAGGTCTCACGGGATCTCGTGTGCTTTCTACAGCTCGATCATGTCAATGTTTACTATGGACAGGACTATCGGAACAAGTACAAAGCACCCACAGACTATTGTTTAGTGCTAAAGGTAACTTGGTAATTGCTTTGAAATTTCTCATTCTGGAAAGAGCAATTAAAGAGCTCAGAACATTTCCACACTAATCTTAGTCCCTTATCATAACTGCAATTGTGCTTAATTGGCATATCATTTGTGGAGTGTCTCACTCAAGCCTTACAATAGCGGAGAAGATCAGCGCGTGGGTTTCCTTCCATCGATGTGAGAGGAAGGTGAAGTATCAGCTGTCTCACTCAGGTGGTGAGTTAGAGAGCAGTGAAAGAAGATGGCTCTTTACACTTTGGCAGTCTCTTGTTTGTTTAGGAAAGTTTGTTTAGCCATTGACCACTTGGCTTGAAAATATAAAGACGTCTAAAGAGCTTTATATATACATTATACTCTGTTGGTAGGTAGAAGGAACAACACTAAAATGCTGAAAGATGCATCCTTTCCTAGTGTTTCAAGCCCAAAAGCAGTGTGTGCAGAACACCCTGCCTGGCTGTATGTGAAGCAATCCCTGCCACCACCTCCTGAAATACTCTCAAACATTTTAAGTGGGCTCAAATACATGCTACTGAAGAGCTTCTAGCATTAAGTTTGTCTGTAATAAATGGCTTTTCTTGCATCTTAGCTATTAAAGTATTGTAACAATTTTTTTGCAGCATCCTCAGATTCAGAAGAAATCCCAGTATATCAAGTATCTTTGCTGTGATGATGTAAGAACTCTACACCAATGGATAAACGGCATCCGCATTGCTAAGGTAACCTCCTATAGGCAGCCTTGTACTGTTGTCATGAGTTGTCACTACCTGTTTGAAACTATTTACAGTTACTTAGCAAAAATACATCCAAGATCTAACTTCCCTCTGTTTAACTATTCTGAACATCAAATGTACCATCTTCTCACATATTTCATTCTGTAGCAAAATTGTTAGGTCTTGTTGTTATTACAATTCAGTAATTGTGCCCTTTCTTCTTGTTTCTGCTGCACCTCTGTCACATGAAGTTCTAAATGACATCGTGGCTAGATTATAGCCAGATGCCTTACAGTTTTTCAAAAGAATGCTTATGGGAAAAGAAAATTGCAAAAACAGACTGTTTTTCTGAGATCCCTAGGTTGGCTTAGTTTATTCATTGGCCCATTTCTTGCTTGAAGGTATCTCTTCTAGCATAAGTAAACTGTTTTGCTTTCTTTCAGCAGTTTACTAATAAAAAATTAATGTTGCCTGAGCTCCTTAACAAGGACACTTTTGTTTCTATCTGGGGGAAAAAAAGATGGAATGAAGAAGCCGGAAGTGGAACTCAACAGTCTGAAGAGGGTACAAAACCTATACAATTGTTCTATTTGTTTGTTGTTTTGCTTAGTATGGGAAGCAACTCTACATGAACTATCAGGAAGCACTGAAGAGAACAGAATCGGCATATGACTGGACTTCCTTGTCTAGCTCCAGTATCAAGTCAGGCTCTAGCTCATCTAGTTTGCCAGGTAATAATGTAGTCTGTCTTGTAATAGATTTAATTACCTTTTTTATTGTCCACTGTTTGGAGACCTCAGGAGAGGCTATTGCAGAAAATGGACTGTTTACTGTTTCTCCAAAGTCTTTTATGCTATATTTAGCCTAAGACATAGATTTGATAGATTTTGTGTTTAAAAAATATATATGAAAAACATATAAACCCTACTGTATTATAGTACTTGCAGTGATGTTGCATATTTGGAACATAAGGTACTTTCTTGTTCACCTCCAAAAAGAATGTTTCTCTGATACTGAGAAGGAGAAACTTCCTTTCAAATTTCTGACCCTCTAGCTTCACCTGCTTGAAAAAGAAATAGAATAATGTTTTAATGATGCATAGAGACTTGTGTGTGTAGCACTTAAATTGCTTTTATTGAGTGAAATTTTTGAAATTGGGAAAGGAGTCACAACATAGTCACAAAGGCAAAGGTCCAAACAATCGCTTCAGAGACAAATTTTGAAAATCCTTATTCTGTTACTGTGTCAAAGTGTGTATGCCTGTAATTATTTGCTTCTGTTTACTTCTCAGCAGGACTGGGACTGTTTTTTTTTATAGCATATAACAGTTTAAAAATTGATGAATGGTTTATATAGTCTCATTTCACTGTTCAGAGCAGACTGACACTTTGCCAGGTTATTCTGAACCCTCAGGGGCAAGTTTCATTATTGAAAACGACTGTAGTGGGAAAGTGTTTTGTTTGTTGCAGATGCAGGTCAGGAAGTAATGCTGCTGAATTGGAAAGGTTCAGAAAGTACCCTGTGAGAAGGAATGAGCTAAGCAAATTCAGCCTAACTGGAAGGCAGTGTGTTTTTTCAACAGTGTGGTGCAGCTTGCCAGGTGTGGTAGGTAGAAGGCAAAACACTAACATTTGCAAATTCTCAGTTACTGACAATTTCTCCATCCAAGCTGAGTTTTTTTTCAGATAAAAGTTTCTCTTTCTTTTGAGGAGCTGAGCCACAGCTCACCAGCCATGCATGTTCTGCTACATACATGTCCAGCCTGTGCCTGGATGCTCTTTTTGCCCAGGACAGCTTGGGACTACACAGAAAGCAGGTACCTGGCTGGATAAATTGGACTGGCAGTGGCTGTTGCTGTCTTTTCAAGATACCCTATGGACCCAGAGCATCATGTGTATTTCTTGGTTGCAGGATGCACATTGTTCTTTTTCTTCCCTTGAGGAATGGAGCAGACAGAAGCAGACTAATGCTTCAGCTAGCATTGATCACCTGTCCTCAGCCTACAGCCAGTGTCTGTTTCTCAGGTTGTGCTGGGAAGGAGTGCTGGAGAGAGCAGGCTGCATGCATTTCATGAAATGGAGCTTTTCCCAAAGTGAAGGAGCTGTTGTTTATTTCAGATCTTACACAACTGCAGTGCAGTGTTTTGCAGCATATCTGACATGCTGTCATCTTTGTGGAACTTCAGATTTGGTTAATAGCAGGGATCTGTTGCACTGTTATGTTTTCCAGACAGCAAACCCTGAATGGGAGATAGAGGTTATGCAGTAGTTAGCGGAAACAATGTCCTTTGATGGGATAACATGTTTAACAAGTGTGACCAATAAATGTCACACAGAGTTACATTATGAGCACACGAACTTTACTTTTAGCTTCAGAAACATACGCTGTTTCTTAACTTTCTTCTAAACAGAATCTCAATCAAATCATTCGAATCAGTCTGACAGTGGAGTTTCTGATACCCAGCCAGCTGGACATGTCCGTTCCCAAAGTATTGTCAGCTTCATGTTCTCTGAAGCCTGGAAGCGAGGCACTCAACTGGAGGAATCCAGCAAGGTAACAAGAAGATTTTAGTTTGAGAACCAACGCCCAAAAAGTATATGAGACAGTGGTTTGGTATCTCCTGTTGCTACTAGAGAGTTTAACACATTGAAGCCTGAGGTTCAAGTCTGTTGTGGTTTGGTTAGTTTATTGTCCGATATACTTCCAAACACAGCAGAATGCTTAAGCTGGTTTATTGTCAGGCTCAAAGGAGCGTGCTGAGTCTGCCTAGCATGTATCTGACAGAGGTGAAGGAGTACTGCTATGAGAACTGTAATGTTTTTGTTTCGTAAAATTTTGGTTTTAGTGTGAAAAATCTGTGAGCTCTTGAGAGAAAAGTTTGAAGTTTACCACAGTGAAGTCACTGTTCTTATCAAGTCCATAGTGCTTCTGGCAATTGCTCATCTAAGTGAACTCCAAGAATTTTTGTTATCTGATTAAAGACATTTAAAAAATAAAATATTCAGACTGCTCTCTTTTGAGGGCCATGGATGTTTCAAGATTTCATCAGTTTTAATTCATTTTTATGCTCAAATTCAAGAAAAGGTATATTTTTCTTCCTTGTGCATAACATGGGTGAATAGATTCCCCTAAAACTTTCAATTAATGCAAACTAAATGAACAATGTAAAGTTATAATTCAAAGCCATGTTAAAAAATTCTTAGTAAATTGGTGACAAATTCACCTTCAGTGAAACGACAGTACTGTTCTTCTCCTGTACAAGTCTGGTGCAAGGTACTTAAATAATGAATCAAACTGGCAATGTAAAATGTTAAACTGTGTGGCAAGAAACAAAAGTGTTGGAAAAATTGTAATTTACATTAAAGTGTAGTTGCAGTGTTGGTGAGACGTGCTTTGGTGACAAAGCTGGCTTAAGAAGGTCGTATGGGCAGGTTGCTGCAAGTGGCAGTATTAATGGAGACTTGTCCAGTGTGTCCTTTTCCCTTCTGGAACAGCTCTTGCCCTTCTTGTCACCCTTGTCTCATCCCTCACAGCAAGTAGAGCAGAAAAGAGTATGTTCTGGCTCAGCAGGGAGAGGACATTGAGGCTGGCCAGCCAGCCAGGATGTTGGACTGGTTGGCCAGTGGCTAACTGCTCATGTAAAAAATGGTGAGTTGTCTGCTTTTCTCTCATTTATGAGGTACCAGTAACTTCACAGCAGTTTCTTGAAGGTGAAAGTATGACAGACTGCTAGAAATCTCAGTATATTTTACTGAAACTTGCTAAGCAATCCAAAAGTAGCTGGCATAGGAAAAGAAATGGCAAACAAAAAAATAGCACAGTTATTATTTTTTTTTAATGATACTTAACACTTCCGAGAGCTCCAGATAGTAATGAAGATGCATGTTACAAATACTAATTGATAGTATGCAATAAGTAACTTTTCATGATACGCATAAGGTCATCACATGGTTTAAAGGACAAAAAAGGACAATTATCTGTTTCAAGGTTCTTCTATAATAGAGTATCACTGAATATGTTTCTGGTTGTGGAAATTTAATTTGATCCTGTAGAGATGGGAGAGACTTTTCTCTGTCCTGAGTGTTTGATGTGCTCACTGTGAAAATGGCTGTCTTCAGTGGATAAGAGGAAGGTTCCTCTTTGTCTCAAATACATCTAAGATTAAAAAAATCTGCCTTTCCCAAAATACAGGTAGTCTGTCCACTTCGTATTTTGAAAGATTGCTGTTTGCCCAAAGAATACTTTATTAATCCTTTCACATTCTTCACAGGTGGGCAATGAAGATCTCATTTTGCTTGTTAGAGATTTTGATTAGAGGGTATTTCAAATGGGATGCTACAGCAGGCATCAAAATGTGTGCTCACTGTGTGTACTTTAAGTGGCTAAGATTTTCCAAGGTCTTCCCATTCAGGGATAGCTTTTCTGTTGTGCCTTGGTCTCCCCCTTTCTGTTTTATGCAGCTTTTATTTTTCCTGTTGCCTTTTGCTGTCTCAGGTGTCAAAAGTGAAGCTCAGGACAGCTAAGGTCAGCACACCAGTGGTGCCTTATACAGGGCACGATTAAGGTCAGGTGGTGCTAATTGAAAATTAATTTATTTGGGTGATTGGGAGAATGGTAATTTACAGACTAACACTTGCAAGAAAGCATTATTTCTCTCCTGTTTTGTTATGTGAACACCATGATTTAGCTCCAGAACTGTTACCCTCTTGCCTTCCAGACCTAATGTGACAGGTAGAGGCACACCCCATGTATGTTGTAAATCACTGTTTGTTTCTGACTCTAGTGCTTTTTGGTGTTCTTCTGCACATAGAGAAACTCTGTGCACCTGTGTTCAGAACACAGCAATGTGCAGACCCGCTCATATAGTGCAAATGAGCGTAACTGGGCTAACTTGTGTAAAAGTATCTACTAATGAGGTATATAGGTAGCCAGTGTGGTCAGTTGCCATGTTGAGTTGTATTTCTAATGCATGTTTCTATACTGTGCACTGTGAAATTCACAACTTGGTTTGTAGCCAAAATACTTGTATTAGGATGTTTATAAACTTGAGTAATGTAATTATATTTTTAATTTTCAACAGAAACGTAAGCTTACAATTTCAGAGAAAAAATTTAACTTGAGCAAAACCCGATGAGTAGACTAAAACATTACCTGCTGCTTTCCCATTGCTCCTTCCCTTAGAGTCAGCTTTTCCCTATCTTGCTGCTTAACGTAATAGTTGCATGTACAGCTTTTCTTTCCCAAGCTAATTTTCTTCTGCTGATCTCTAAATATTTCTTTCTGGGGAAATTTTTTTAGGAAACCTCAGTTCTCCCTCTTTTTCCTTAATTTTTTCCTTGCCAGTTTAGAATAACAGAGCATATGGAGTGGAAGGATCTCAGTAGTATTCCTGCATAGAGCTTGCTCTTACATTTTAGAGCAGTTCAGGATTTCTGCATTTTGTAAGGCCTGTGCTAATCAACATAAAGGCTTGACAAATGCTCTGGGGAGGTGATGTATGGCTTAACTCTAGTCTTACTGAGCTCAGATGTCCACGGCATCCTTTGGATCTGGCAGATGTCCTCTGTCATGACCCATGTTGCTCTGGGGAGTGCTCTCTTTGGGTGATTATACTTGTCCAGAGGAGCACCAGTGACTCTCACTGGGTACAGTTGCCTACCCCAAGAAGTGACCAGGCTGATGTATTTTCATCCTGACAATAAACCTAGCCTGGAGTAGACCTGGCTGCATTGATTCTTGCCAGCTCCCCTCCCTGCCTGACTGGCCAGACGGCATGGTCCAGGCTTGTCAGTGTATGGAATTATCTTTTGCTGCATTGTTTCACTAATACTTCCTGCATGTTATAATATGCCACTTAATTTTTAATGACAGGCATATTTAGATCTTGACTTTATAATCTCTTTGTCTCCTTCCCTCCCTCCCTCTCTCCCTCCCTTTCGTATTTTTTTCTCCCTTTCCACTTTCACTAAAAATCCCTTCCCAATAGGCCCGAATGGAGCCTGCAGGCCGGCCCTTCATGTCTGTGCCACCTCCTGTATCCCCGCAGACAAAAGTGGCAACTCCCAGCACAGCCTCACAGCCATCCCCCCCGCTTCCCCCACCGCCTCCTCCTCCC